GCCCGAGGGTGATGGGGGGCGGCGCCTAGCCTCCGGCGACGGCGGGTGGGGGATGGTGGCTGCGGTGGAAGGCGGTGGGCGGGCGACCGATAGCAGCAAATAGGTGGCGGGGCCGGGGCCGACGGCCAGCGATGGCGGCGGGCCAGGGCCAAGGCTCAGGGCAACTGTCGGCGGCAGGCGAAGGGTTATTTTGGTGTTTTAAAAATAAGCAAAAACATATTTTTGTTTTTAGTATTTTAAAAATAGAAGCGTTCTCTAAAAAAAAAAAAACATACATAAAATTAAAAAAAAGATAAGCAAACAGTGTTTATATGTTTGTTTCCTTTTTTGTGTTTTAAAATTAAAAAATGATCTCAAACAGCCTCCAAGTTACTTCTGTAATGGCAACCTATTTTGCACATTTCTATCAATCAGCTCAAAAATGTTAACAGTCATTACTGTTTGTGGTCAGTATGCAAAAAATATATTGATTTTTTTCTTGTCATGCGGGTATGTTTGTTAAAATATATTGATTTTTAACTACTAGTTGTTCTCTCTAGTTATATCTTCTATTTTCCTATGCAATTCTTTGAATTTTACTCTTTCCTGCACAAATGTCTGACATTTTGTAGTGAAATCCTTTATATCCCGGTTTTATGATTGCTTTGCATGATTTTTAGTTATGGGTAAAGGGATATATTCAAGTATTGAATCTTATTAGTCTGATAATTCCATACTTTGATGAATATATTAATTTGTTGCAGCTGGAAAGGAAAAGCAAACGTTACCATATTTATTATTCCTACAAGGTGGACCCGGCTTTGAGAGTCCTCGCCCTACTGAAGCTAGTGGATGGATAAAGAAAGCATGTGAAGAACATTGTGTTGTTTTGCTAGATCAGGTATAATTCACAGTTATTCCTTAAATCACATCTTGAATGTTGATTTTGCCGTTTATTGACTGTAAAGCCTTATTAATCTTTGGTTGCTAGCGTGGTACAGGGTTATCTACTCCTTTGACGGCGTCATCTCTTTCCCAATTTAAATCTTCGACGGAGTTGGTTAACTACCTGAAGCATTTTAGGGCAGATAATATAGTCAGAGATGCTGAGTTTATCCGTATTAATCTGGTACCTGATGCTGCTCCTTGGACAATTTTAGGGCAGGTATAAGTTTGTTAATGGGTTATATTTTAAATGATAATTTGAAGAGGAAAACCAGTAAAACAAGAAGTCTATTACATGCTTATCTGCTTGAATTTTTGGTTCTTAAAGGATGTTTCCAAAAGAAGAAAGTATTGTATTTTATTTGAGAAATATTTTGCTGCAAAGAATTATATTCAAGTTTATACTGATGATTTGATACAGTTAGTTTGAATTTCACCCACCAGGAAGGGTGAAAAAATAACCGCACAACAGACACCTAGTTATTGGTTTAAAGGGCTAGTTTGTTTCATTTTAAGTGGCTATAACTTTTGAAGTGTTTGGATCCCTGTTCTGGAAGTGAGCTGCATCAAAGTAGTAGTGGCATTTATTTTTTTTGTAGGAACTCAATTCTTGTGAGCTCATTTTTGTGTTTGTTTTGGTTCCAGTGCCTTTTATATTTTTCCTATCCTCACGTTCAATTTTTATGTTATGTTTTATTATTTAATGTAAAAATAAAATTCTAATCCATCATCCACTTATCTTTTTTATGGTTGTTTAAGGATAAGAACTTTCTTTGGCCAAACAATCACTTAAAATCAAATATTGAAGAGAGATCAAATCACTTCTAGACACTCTTAATGAAATAAGCTGCCCCTAAATGTAATGATGATTAGTTTTCTATTTTTAAGAGAGCCCATCGTACTTTACCAAAATTTTTCCTGGGTTATCAGAGTTTGAACTAATCTCAAAGTATTTTGCCTTCCCCTAGAAGGGGTGTTTTTAGTGAACTGAAAACTATTTTACTACTTTTAGCAACGTAGAGAATAAATCGGGGAGACACTTCATCTTTGAGATTTATGTTGAATGAAAATACATATTGGATGTTGGTGTTTTGGTCCTCTTGATCAGTGGATTGTAGATCAAGACACACATATTTAAGATTGATCGTTTTATCATGTGGGGTTATGGATGGTGGATGAAGTTCTCAAGCATTGAATCACTATTGTTGGAGATTTGTACTAAGTAGTTGGATTCGCATTGATGCCTTTGAGATTTATTGTTAGAGCTGATGTGAAATTGACTTTTTGTTCTAGTTTTTTCCTTGAGATTAGTAATAGTTCCCTCAAGTTTTGATTGAAGGGTTACTAAGATCTTGAGCTGATTTGCGGTGTTTTTTCAAAAAGGTAATACCTCATCTTTCGGCCACTGCTTGGCTTTGAAATTTATCCCAAAGGGGCGTGTTATATGACTTCGATCATTCTGATGATAATTGTAATCTCTGAATTTGTGGCGCATAAACTATGAGAATCATGAAGACAGTTCTAATTTTTTGTATGGCTAATCAAAGTGGAAATTTGTGAAAAATTGTTAATATTTTTCCATAAGTAACCATTTTTTGTTTATGAAAATGCTGAATAATTATGTTGCGTCTGTTGCTAAGGCTTTGTTTAATATTTTTCCTTCGTTCTTTTTATCTTGTGCAGAGTTATGGAGGATTTTGCGCTCTTACCTATTTGAGTTTTGCTCCAGCCGGCCTGAAGTCTGTTTTACTGACCGGAGGTATCCCTCCAATAGGAAATGGTTGCACTGCAGATTCAGTTTATAGGGCTTGCATTGAGCAGGTTATTCATCAGAATGAGAAATATTATAAAAGATTCCCTCAAGATATTCCTGTTGTTTGCGAACTGGTCAGCTTCTTGAGTAAAGCTGAAGGTGGAGGGGTGAGCTCATAACTTCATACTGGATTCTGTTTCAGAAAATGCAAGCGCCAATAAGTCTTCAAGCTATAATTTTCTTTAACAGGTTCCTCTTCCATCTGGAGGGATTCTAACCCCTAAGGGTTTGCAACTACTTGGACTTGCAGGCCTAGGATTTGGTGGTGGATTTGAACGTCTACACTACATGTAAGTTTATGCTTAGAATTTAATTTAAACAAGGAGAATACTGACATAAATATAATTGTAGGTTCGAAAGGATATGGGATCCCGTATTGCTTCCTGGAGGAGGAGAAAAGCAAATAAGTTTCTACTTCTTAAAGGCTGTAAGAACTTCTTTTATCTTCTGTCTTTAGCTTGGGTCTGTTTGGTTGCTCATAAGTGGGAGGAAGTGATCCGTACTGCTTTTGAAAGTTCAAATTTCAGAATTGCTTTTGAGAAAAATTATTTGATTGGTTGTTCACTGAGGAAGTGCACTTCCACTACCATTCTTCTAGAAGAATATGAACTTTCACTGCTATGCTCTCTCAATTAAATTTTTTTATCAGGAAGTATCTTTTATATTAGTTATTCTAGGTCATTCCAAAATTTTTTTTTGATTATATATCCAAACCTACTTGGGGAGCATAATATTAAGACTCTTAGTATCAACAATAATCTTTAGAGTTATAATTTTATCTTCATTCTACTAATTTCTACAATAATATCTTTCAAACCCTTATCTATAGTTATATCTGTACTATTTTTAGTATAACTCATACCTGAATACCAAAGTTTAAAATTTAGACTATCAATATCTTTTGTCTTTTTTCAACACATTTATTTTCTTGAATGCATAAGATATTTATTTTCATATGAATTATAATATCTACTAATTTTATTAACTTAATTATGAGAGTATCTACATTCGAAGTTCCCATCCTAATATTATTTTAATGAACTAACTTTATTCATCGCATCCATTCATAATGTGGAAACCCTAGTTTATTTTAAAATATAGACTATAAATATTTTTAGTCTTTTTTCAACCCATTTAGCTTTGAATGCATCAGATATTTATCTTTTTATGAATTATAATATCTACTAATTTTATTAATTTACTTATGAGAGTATTTATATTCCAAATTTCTTAACTAATGTTATTTTTTTGAATTAATTTCTTTGTCCGTATCCATTCATAAGGTGGGAACCCTTGCTTATTTTAACAGTATACCTGAGCGCTGATATTGTGGCTCTTGCACACTTATCACTGTATTTAGGTCATACGATACATCGTTTAGTATTTACACAATGATTTAAATGATCCATGTCGTAGTTTTTTGATAAAATGTTTACAAGAACTGTCGACCACCTAATACAATCGTTTATTTTTCACTTCCAAGGCTTTGGCCAACGATGACAGTGTTTAAAATTATTATCATAATGATTTAAGGGAGGTAAAATGTTGATGTGAAAAATTATTATCAATTAAAGAGGTAACAATATGCCAAATAATCATATTTCATATCTAAGAATAAAAAAAAAGCCATTTAATTAAATATATATTTAAATTTTATGTTTAAACTTAATAAAATTTATTCATTTAAAATAAAATTAAAATTGAAATTAAAACTTCAAAGTTAAATATAAATTATATTTAAGATAAACTTATTTAATTTTTTATTTTCTTACATGAAAAATTTAAAATTTATTAATAAAGATTAACATAGTGGCAAATAGGGTTATAAATAAACTAATGCACTTGATGAACAATTTAAATTCGGCTCAATTAATACTTGATGTTGTTTTTTCAAATTAATAAATACATATGTTTGAATTTTTTTTCAAAACTCAAGTGTTAAATTAATCAAATTTGAACATAGTTTAACTCGTTTATCAATATTCACAAACAAGATTATTTGTTCTTCAACAAGTAACTTGTAAATATTTTTTATTTATATGATGTATTATTTAAATAAAATTTAATTAAGTATAATTTATTTAATTACATAATTAAAAGTAATATATTATAATTTAATAGCAATATGCATATATATTTAATGCAAATTTTTTTTATTTCAATGAATTAGTTTGTTAGTGTCTATATTATTTGATTGAAAAAAGTTTATTTATACTTTATATATTATCTTACTTATTTGGTATAAATTAATTAGAAGCTATTCAAAATTTATTCAGTTATTTAGTTATATTTGTAAAATTATTTGTTATTAATTTTACATGAAAAATCAAATATTCATTCAATTTTTTAGCTTGTATACTAACTTTATATATGTCATCAAATTTTTTATTTTATATGAAATATTAAGTACTCATTTGAATTTTTAGCTAGTTCAATAAATATAAACAAGCCAAGTACAAATCAAGTATACAACAACAACAATAAAGCCTTGATCCCACTACGTGGGGTCGGCTACATGAATCATTTTTCTCTATTGCGTCCTCTTTAGTGTTATATCTTCATTTAGTTCTAATAAATTAAGATCAATTTTTTTATAATAAGCCCAAGTCTTTCTAGGTCTACCTCTGCCTTTCTTAAGATAAGATAAGTCAAATCTAAAACATCTAATCGGATCATTAGATGGTCGATATTTAATGCGACTAAACCATCTAAGACGACTTTCTCTAATTTTGTTCGTCACTGGAGCTACACCAACCCTATCACGAATATATTCATTTTGCATTTTGTCTCTAAGTGTAAAGCCACTCATCCACCTAATCATTCTCATCTTGGCAACACTTCACTTAGTATTATGCTCTCTTTTAAAGGCCAACATTCAGCGCCATAGAGCATTGTAGGTCTCATCACTGTCTTATAAAATTTTTCCTTTCAGTCTAAACAGTACTTTTTTATCACACAAAAGGGTTGGAAGCATTTCTGAAACATTTATCAATTCAACCAACCAACTTGAATTCTGTTGTTAACATCCCCATCTATATCACCATCGCTTTGAACAATAGACCCGAGATATCTAAATCGTCCACACCTTTTAATAATTTAATCACCCAAAGTTACACTTCTCTCACTAGAGCTACTACTACTAAAATTACATTCCATGTATTCAGTTTTAGTTCTACACAAATGAAGGCCTTTAGACTCCAATGTAGACCTCTATAATTCAACTTTTTCTTGGGCTTTTTCTCTCACCTTATCCATGAGAAGGATATCATCAGCAATAAGCATACACCAAGGTACATACTCCTGTAAATGTCCAGTAAGACCATCCATAACTAAAGCAAAAAGATATGGGCATAAAGCCGATCCCTGATGTAATCCAACAGAAATAGGAAAATATTAGGTCAATCCTCCTTCAGTTCGAACACAAGTAACAACTCTAATATACATATCTTTAATGACTTGAATATAAGTCATATCAACACCTTTCTTCTCAAGAATTCTCCAAAGGATATCTCTTGGCTAATGAGGATAGAGAAGATACTAGATAGCATGTCTTGTCTGATGAAAGAAGAGTACAATTGGCGATGTTTGTGCTTGATGGAGAAGTCGAAAGGTGGTGGCGTGGGCCTTTTTAGAGAGTGGTTTGTACCCCTATCCGCTCGACGACAGATGCAAGACAAGTTCATCAAGTTGATACAAGGAGAAAACACAGACATGCAGTACGAAGCTGAATTCACTGCACTATCGAGGTATGTGTCACAATTGATTGCTATTACAGAACAAAAGTGTTATAGATTCTTTTCAGGATTTAAGAATTTTATCAGTCAACCATTAGTACTTTTAGGGATTGATAAATACTTGATATTAGTGGAACGAGCTAGAAGAGTGGAGATCGACTACTAGCTTATTCATAAGCGTAAGAGATACACATGAGTAAGATTGCAAAAGAACATATGGATCAATCAAAAGGATCCAATGGAAGCAGTCCAAGAACAATTTGAGTGGAGTTAGCAAAGGTATGACTTAGGTTATAGTAGTCATTTGTGTCAAATGTGGAAGACAATAAAAGTGAATGCTTGATTGGCTTTCAACCTAGTCATATAGCAAGATATTGTCCATCTCTTGGCTAGAAGAGCACTGAAGATCAGAAATCAAGTGGGTAGAAAAAGATGGAGTCTATAGCTTCAGCTCCGACCCAATTACAACCTAGACAACCTGTTCAACCTCGTGTATATTCCCTTATTCATAGTGAGCCTAAACAATCTACTGCTGCTGATGGTGATGAGATTTAATTAGTTTGATGTTTTCGTGCTTCACTAGCTATATGTTTTGAAGTATAGTTGAGTCACTTTGTATGGAGTCTTTATCTTTATAGTGATTAATTTTCATGAATGCCCTAGTTTCATGGATAGCTAATGTTGACTTACTTGTGGTTAGTTTATAAATTTTGAGGACGAAATTTTTGTAAATGAGGAAGATTGTAACTGTTTTGCTATTTCGGGGAAGGGGGAATGAACAGTCGGAAGAGGAAACGAAGAAGACAAGAAGAGGAAGCGAGGGGTTGGGTAGCCGAAGAAATGAGAGATGAAGCGAAAGGATCGGGAGGCTAGTTCTCCTATAAATTGATTGGAGGCAGAGGGAGATCAGGAGGTAGAAGAAATCCTAGCGACTTACCTTGGAGTCGAGCAATTTACGAAGGAAAGGATAGCTTGGGAGAATCCTACACGTGTCGGCCGTTTTATTGTTCAACTTCACTTTCG